GAAACTGACGCATCTGGAGGAAACTTTGAAGGTTTTCAGAGTCTGATTATGTTGGATTGAGGATAATTTGTTTGCGTCTCTTTTTGTTTGTTTGTTTGTTTGTTTGCGTCTTTACTCTGTTGCTGCGCATTTGCACCTGTCGGCCACCATACATAAGAGTTGTTTCACCAGAGTGCGTTAAGAGGACGCTTGAGGACTGGTTTTGTTCGAGATGGATGAAGGTTGGAATGGAGAGTTGAGCATTACTGTGGTATTGATTTGAGTGCATAACCGGAGTCGCAAAAATCTTTGCCTTTGTTCAAAAAGCTAATTTAAATCTTTATCTCTCTAAACAAGCCAGCCTCAAACAGTAAAAAACAAAGCTAGGAAAGCTTTAAAATGATTCGTTTTTAGATTCTACAAATGAAAGTGCGACAGATTTGAAGCAGACAAACGGGCGTAAGGCTGCCTGCGCCCGTCCGTCACGTCACGGACTCATATGTAGAAATGCTCGCGCTCGCTGAGGATCCTCCAGTTCTCAGGCCCACCGCGCATGAATAAAACCCCACCCTCAGTGAGTTCACATCCCTCCACCGCCTCTCCTCCCTCCCCCCTCGTCACTCGGTCCCTCTTCCCGAGTGCCGCTGAGAGCCTCTCACCGCCGGGGCGAGGTGCGCCGTGAAGGGCCGTCCCCGCCGCGCCTCAGCAACGCAGATCAAAGGATTACGGTCGCTAACGACGCGCTGGCTTCACCCTGAGACGAGCCGCTGGTAGGAGAGTCACCTGGCTGTGGCGCTCTAATGAGTAAATCATCACGACCAGGCGGGACAAGCAGTCTGACAACGTTGACTTTGCTCACCATCCTCTTCATCTCCTTGGAGATGTGGTTGTGGAAGGCACGGTCAGCCCAGTGGCCGCTGTTGTGGGTGACGGAGTTGGTCCTCTGTCGACTCATTTTGGCAATCATCGCCTTTTCTTCTTTCTGTGGAGCGAAAGGAGGCCGAGGTTAACGCACCAAACGAATGAGTGCCATAAAACCTTGAAGCACACGTGTCAAACTCGAGGGGTGTAACTTTTTATGTGGCCCTCTAATTTCTAAACAAGCTTAAGTATTTTGTTATCAATCAAATCAATGCAGTTTTTATCCGTTTACTGCCAAATTATATCAATCAGTCCATCCAGTTTCTTGAGAATTATCGTGGAAATTCATGCGAACCTCTGCACTTTTTTGTGCTAATAATTGGGAGTTTATTGCAGATTTTTCTCCAAAATTGTCAAAAGTTTTCTTGCTTGTACTAAACAGCTGCCTCAGCCTTAACTGATGTCAGATAATAATCCATGATCTATATAAAAAGTTGCATTTACCATCATAAATAAGAGCAAAAATGGCAAATAATTACAAATTAGTACCACAAACACTTTTTTTTATTGCAAAAGAAATCACAAAAGTATCACAAAATCCTGGAGGGACTGAAAAGATGCTCAATATTCTTAGATATTTGCTTTCCCTTAAGCAAGCCAACACTCAAGATCACATTTGACACATTGTTAGGTCTGCTTACATTTTATCTGCATTAAATATAAAACTAAAAACGGCTGAAGTTCACAATTTGCACCTTGTGAAGGAAGTGTGGTGGTGATCTTACAAATTATTTAACTTCTGAGCTTAATAAAAAAAAATAATGGGGCCCAAACAGATAAGCCAAAAAGAAAAGTTTAATTTACACGTATTATGATTGCAGAGTTTAGGTTCTGTCTAAAAAAAACAGCTTCAAACAGTTTCAGGCGATCTCCTGGGCATCTCTTTTTATCTCATCTGATATCAGAACTGAACGGCTTTGAGCTATATTTGTAAAAAAAAAAACAAAAACAAAAAAAAACTGGAAGAATAAAATGAAAATTAACCAACAGCTAGACTTCAAAACGTTCCCTCTGTCCTGAACCACAGGCACCAGAACGAGAATAAAGTATCTCTTCACATGACTTGCTAACTATAGTCGCAGCTTGTGATACTGCCGGGGGAGGCTGATAAAAAATATCAAGTCATAAACAAACTGGAGGCTCAAGCAGGGAACTGAACTCGGTCCTGCCTGCAGAGACAAATTCAGCTTACAGAGAAAACAGGAGCAAAGGAACTTACAGCTGTGGGAAAGAGACGTCAGTCAAAAAAGCTCCTTAAAGGAGCAGCTTTCACATCAACACAAACGTCACAATGTTTTACTGGAGTTTTATCTGAATATTTGTGAAGCGGAATCAAAACCGGAATCCATAAATGGGAAGCAAAAAATAATAAATATTAGACATAATTGTTACATTTTAGTCCCATCTTTCTTTAGTTTTGAGTTGGATTCAACCAACATCATAAAAGTCTGTTTGCCTGAATAAAGACAATATTCCCAGTCGCTCTGTATTCATCTTTTTAGACGACTCCTACTCAGCTTCCACATCCCCGCTAAAGAAAAAGAAAACATCATGCTACCACCTCCTCCTTTCACCATCTCTTTAATTAAGTTCAAAACTTACTTGTAGTTGGAAAAACTACAGGATGTGGAAAGGTAGTTTATGAAACAACGGCTTGCTCTCTGTGGAAAGTCACCGTAACGTGTCATTTTTAGGACAATTTTAGACTTTCACACATGTAAGAAACGATGAATTTAAATGAATTTAAATGAACTACTTGAAAAGTTCAAATCTCAACAAATCTCCATGTTTTTTTTTTTCTGATTTTACAGCAAATTTTCTCAAAATTGGTCACAAACACTGAATTTAAGTGACGGCTGCCTCAGCGATGTCAAGTTATAGTCTGTAATTGATGTGTCAATTTGATAAAAAGTCACATTTAACATCAAATAGCACAAATGTAAAAATTCCTAACAAACATTTCTAAACTGGCATCATAAAATCTGTAATTTTAATTGAGAAAAAACCAAAACACTAAAACAATAACAAAATCCTGGAGGGACAACCATCTATTGATATTTTAACATTTTAATTTGTTTGATCAATTCATTCTGGCGCATCCGGCCCTTTAAGAATGTTCAGATTTTTGATATGAGCCAAAATGAGTTTTATTTTGATATCATGAAAAAGAAAAGATGATTCTACCATTTTTCTTGTTGGCATTTTACTGCAAAAAATAAAAAATAAAAATCAACTTTTCAACTTTAAATGAGACAGAAATGATTTCAGTTCCCTTTCACTGCCTCCTCCAGCGATGAAAGCCATACCCTTTTCTGACTGCAGCCCACAATGAGGTAGGTTTCTATGTTGCTCCTCTTCAAGTAGGCGTTTCTCTCTCCTCCGGCTCCCGGCTCCACGTCGTAGTCCCCGTTCAGGTAGTTCAGGGTGGCCTTTGTGATGTGGATGCGCCTGAAATGAAAGCGTTCCTTTTTCTAAATGCTCTGGCTGTTGCATAAATCTCATGCAGCTGACCCTCCGCACTTATCAGAAGGAACGTTTAGGAAGCCTATTGGACGAACCCGGCCTTGCCTCCCGCCTCCATCTGATTTGCCAGCGTGACGTCGTTGGACCAGACGTCAAACTGCCACTTCCTGAGTCCCAGCACCCCGCAGTGCACCCTGCCGCTGTGGATGCCGACTCGCATGTTCACGTTCACCCCAGTCACCTCCCGCACCAGCCTGCAGAAAAAAAAAAAACCCAAACAAACCAAAAAGTGACAATCTACACGATTAGCGTGTCTAAATGTACGAGCTGTAGTCTCAGCGAATGCTGCTGAGGTTTACCAGTGAGTCGAGTTTACCAGACTTTTTTTTTTAAACTGGTGTATTAACGCCGTTCCCAGACTTACGAGATGGCCTCGATCATGTCCAGCCCCATCTCCACACAGCAGTGGGCGTGGTCGGCTCTGGCCTCCGGCAGCCCGGACACGCAGTAGTAGCAGTCGCCCAGGATCTTGATCCGCAGACAGTGGTTCTCCTGCCACACAGAGCAGGAGCAAGAAAGGACATGTGTGTTACGGTATTTACCAAGAAGCAAACTAATGTGAAGAGTTAATGAAGTTATCTCTATTTTGCTTTAAATAATGTGCAAAGGTTGTCACAAAAATCCTGAGTGATCCATTGTTCCAACTGAAGGCCTTTTTTTTTTCTTTTTTTTTTTTTTCCGAATATTCCAGTGCAAAAGGAATAAAGTACAGCGTGTGAGCCACATTATGTCATGTGAAAATAATGAAAGAATAAAGAAGAAATCATACATCCGTCTGTGAGCAAATCTGAGACAAACATATTTTTTTGTGGGGGTTGCATGGGTTCATATTCTTCACTGCAGTGACGTCCATAGTTGGGGTTCCTCAAGCAACACTTACAGGCCTTATTCCAAATTCACTTTTCTTATACTGTGTTTTGAGTGAAGATACTGTGTTATAATCACTATTTGAAATGCAATATTTGTGGTAAAATTCCAAGGCATGAGTTTAAGCTTTGCACCTCATTGATGTGTTGAGTCTGTCTGATGGACCATAAAATGCAGGACCAGCCAAAACTGTGAACAAAGGTGGGATTTATAGTCCAGAAAATACAGAGTTTCATTGTATTGTTTGCATCTATGTCATCAGTACAGGATGGAAATGTGTCTGTCCCTCCTCTGGCAGAAACAGAGACGTTTGTCGTCCTGAAGACTCAGCATGTAAGCCTGATTAGCTGCATTCCTGGATTATCATGCCAACCATAAGAGCTCAGGAGTTTAGCAAACAGAAGGTAAGTGACAAAAAGCAGGATTTAAAAATGTCAAAGGAAGAATGCAGTCCATTAAAAACAACAGACGCATGATATCAGCCTAGATATCACGCTGTCGATGTGTGAGCCAACAGCAAATGAATCGGTGTGTGTGTGTGTGTGTGTGTGCGCATCCCAAGGGTTTGGGAGACTATAATGTCTCATGATAGCCACCTGAGTATCCCTTTAGCACACGGACCAAAATACAAAAGGAGCCACTGTGTAAGGAACAGAGTGAGCGAGTGTGTGTGTGTACCAGGTTTTCATATCCTTATGGGAATCTATTTCTGTCTACAATGTGGAGTTATGGGGACCATTGGTCCTTGCGGGGACATTTTATTTGTCCCCATGAGGGAAATTGTTGTTTTTGGGTTAGTGGTTAGGTCTGTGATGGATGGGGTTAGGGTTAGGGGTAGGGTTAGGCTGTAGAAATGAATGAAAATCAATGTGAAGTCCCCACAAATGATGAAAACATGGATGTGTGTGTGTGTGTGTGTGTGTGTGTGTGTGTGTGTGTGTGTGTGTGTGTGTGTGTGTGCTTGTGCACACAGAGACAGAAGGCACATCTGGCATGGAGATAAAAGTGTCAGATGCAACATTTCTGGTTTACGACAGCATTATGCCTGTTCAGTTCATAAATATTGATCAGCAGCCGATCGTTTCAGCTTTCATAAACAAATGACAGAAACCGAGGATCAGCTCAACAGACGATGACGCTGGTTAAAGGAAATATATCAGTATTCACAAGGTTGTGGCGCAACTATTAATAACCGGGAAGCTTCAGCAATGGCAGTGAAGGTAATATTAAGTTGCTGTTTATGTACAAAGCTACAGCATGTCCAAGAAGGGATTCATCATGAAAAATATTTTCAGTTTGAACTCCACTGCTTTATGCTGCTGTGTCACATTTGTTCTCATCTAAAGTGGAAGTCACTTCAATCCACCAAAGTTTTTTTTTTATTTACTCCAACTACTTTTATCTACAATCCTTAACAGCTTGATTTGACTTTATATCCTTGCAAAACAAGTCTTAGCCGTCCAAACTGAAGGATGAAACGTTATGTTAGAAATGTGGTCCTTTTGTTGTCATTTTTAAATGATTCTTGAAAATTTTGCAGGATCAACAAATTCATATTCAAATTAGAAGAATTACTGGAGCCTCATTACTTTGGAGTGAAAAACAAATCAGTGTTCAAATAATAAAGTTTTTAAAGTTCTGATTTCTGCTGAAGATCATATTAAAACAAAAGTAAAAATAAATTTTACTTTTACCTTCAGAACCAGTTTTTTGTTTGTTTGTTTTTGTTACCATTTCTGGCGATTGTTTTTATTTAGCTGAAGGAAATACATTAAAAAGGCCTGAAGCTTCTGGACTTTGTTTTCCCCATCTGACTTGTCTCCAAACAACATAGAAAGTCAGTCTTGGCTTGTTGGATGGACCCCAAATTCTGCCCAAGCAGCATCTGAACCACTTAAACACTTCTTTTTTCTTTGTGTTCATTTCTAAGCTGTGAATACTGGACTGGTCTCTGCCCCAATGGGCCTGAAGCTTCTAGATCAGGGGTCCCCAAACTTTTTCCTGCGAGGGCCACATAGCTGTTCCTTTCTGTGGTCGGGGGCCGGTCTTAGTATTTGGAGAAAGATACCTTAGAAAATTCTTAGTCGACGGGGGGGAGAGGAGGAGGGATGGGGGCGCAACGACACACTCGCGCTTTTAAATAGATTTTTACCCAGAATGCAAATGGAAAAAACCGTGAGTGAAACGGTGACTGGGACTGACTAGTACATATTCCATTGAGGGAAAGTTAGTTTCACATCTGCTCAAGAGCGCCCCTGGTGGTTGAAGAAAAATCCACATATAAACCGGAAAATACAATATATGAAAAAAAAAAACACTGAATGCTCTCTGGTATGAGGAGGCGGGCCGGATCCGGCATTGTTCAGGGTGCCGGACCAAATGACGTGGCGGGCCGGATTCGGCCCGCGGGCCGTAGTTTGGGGACCCCTGTTCTAGATATTTAAACCACAAGCGGTTCTGGTCGGTCACCACACCTCGTCCCCTCTCAGCCTCAGCTCCAAATGACCCCAGGGCTCCATCCCAAAAGGCAGAGAGTTTTTTTTTATTTTTGCACAAACCATTCAGAGCATAACCATGCAGGCACATTACCAACTGGATGTGGACCAGCACCAGGCAAGACCAACGGGCCCTGAGAAGTTCAGTTTGTTCAGCTGGAACCTCCCGGGATATTTACTCAGAACATATCAAACTCCTCCACCACCCAGAAAACCCTTTTCAGTAGTAGAAAACTATAACTGATGTTGACGGTCTGACTGCCTGAGAGCTCAAACTGAGACTTCTCTGGAGTGTGTGTGTGTGTGTGTGTGTGTGTGTGTGTGTGTGTGTGTGTGTGTGTGTGTGTAATTCTTCTATATGTAATTTGTAAACACTAGCCAGGCGCCACATTTTATTGTAAAATAAATGTATGCAAATCTATTGTGATTTTTTATGTTTTTTTTTTTTTTACCTGCTCAGCAATAAATGAAGCATTCAAAATTTAACAACGTAGAAAAGAACGAACTATTGACTTTTAGGCCACTATAAATTGGGTTTCTGTGTTTTTGACAAAACAGGTGTGGAATATGCAACATGACCTTATTTCTCTGCAACATTTCTAGTCTTCCCATATGTCTGTAAGGCTCCATAGCAACCGCTAACCTCGCACTCAAAACGTCTGAAACAACAGTTCTCAAAGTTTACACACAGAAAAGAGATATTCAAGTAAATAAAAGCATGCAATCCCAAAGCATCGTTGCAATCTTTTGAAAATTGCACGTGCTTGCATGCGTTGTACGCTTACCGCTGCCAACTTGTCAAAGCGGGCGAAAAGCTCATTGAGCGTCATCACCAGCTCCTGCGCTGTGCACTGCGACGCCAGACTGGTGAAGCCCTCGATGTCAGCAAACAGGATGCTGCAGAAACACAAAAACAAGAGAGGTCATGTCTCTCCTAATGTTTTTTTTCTCCTCTCACTTTTCACTTCCTGTGTTTTGGTGAAGTTGAGAAGCTTAATGTGGCGGCAAAACCTAAGTAAAGGTTACCTGATGGGGTTTCCAATTTTCAGAATAATTGCGAAGATCAACTGTGAAAATTTGGTGTGAGATAAAAGAAGAGAGTGTTGCAGACCTGCCTAAGGTACAGGGTTTTGCGTTTCTTTTAATAAAAAAACCAAACACAATTAACATGACTGTGAAGAGAAGTCAAATGATAAAGTGTGTGGAAGGAATATCAAATATGGGTTGATCCAGTTTTCAATGTGAAATTTAAATGAGAAGACAATAAGAAAAAAATGTGAAGAAAACAACACAACCCAGGGCATTTCTAGAGACGCGTCACTGAAACATGGAACTGAATTGAAAACGATTTGGACTCCAAAGAAAGCCTCTTTCAAAATGACGGGTGGATTTTGAAAATTTTTCGCTAAATTTTAGGTTTTTAGGTCTTACTCTTTATGATTACTGGAATCCTGTAGTGAATTCATCCAAGTAAAAAAGAAACATGACGAAATCCCACATATAAATGACTTCCATCTAAAGCCATTGCCGACTATTAAACTAATCATGCAGTTTCTTTTTTCTCTCTCTTCTTTTACAAACTACATGAATACAAATAGCCCTGTGACGGACTGGCTACTGCTTTTCACCAACTGAGATGTTTTTCATTATTTCCCCTGTAGCTCCGGCTCAGCAGCAGGACCGATGATGATGTCACCGGGCCGGGTCATTCCCCTCCGTGGCGAGGCCCTGCTGACAGGTGAGAGGCTGGAACGGGCTGGGAAGGACTGGCAGGTTAGCCTCATGTAAACTCTCAGGAAAATGTTCAGTGAGCGCCGCATCACAAACATCCTCGGCTCGGTTCTTCCTGTCTCAACAAGCAGATTTATTCTCTGGCTATAACGGTTTTCTCCAGGGGTAAATCATGTGGGGCGCTGAAGTCAAAGACAGAAGGGATGACCATGCCATGTGTTGTTTTATTTTCCTCTAAGGTCTTCATGGCTCTATTAAGAACAATTAAAATAAACTCTAATTCGCTAGATTATGATATTTTCCTAAAATCTTAGATGTTCTGACAGTATTTAAATAAACTCAAATATCTCCACAATGCAAATGATAAGCAGTAGCCTGGCAATGGGCAACATTCATGATGCAAACAATAAACCTAATTCCATAATTTGGTGAACATAAATGACATTGAAATTCCTTCTGCAGAACCTGATTAAACTTATAGTTTATGTGATTAAGTTAAAATTGTATTTCGACATGCGTCTTGTTTTCCAGTAGAGTTTATATTACAGAGCAGACCCCTTGTAATAAATCAATAAAGCAAGAAGCAAGGAAGAAAATAAATATCTTATTCAAATCCAGCCATCGAGACAGCTTAGAAAAATAATCAAAGAATATTTTTTCTCCTTATGTTCCTCTCTTGCCTTTTACAATTATTGGCATAATATTAACTATAATAATTTACGGCGCCGTAAAAGACTAACGTACAGATTTTTTTTTTTTGATAATTTATCCAAACCAGCACACAGAAGCTGGTCCTAAGAGTCCTCACTTCGAAGCTTGAAATAACGTCAGTGGTGATACGGAGAGGGAATGACAAAGGCTGCCAGGGTCATTAAGTCCCATTTAATTGTTACCTTGGTGATGAATGACTGGTTAGTCTGCAACATTAACTCTGTGAGATCTTGAAGTGAGAGCCACTGCAGGGGCGGCTGACAGGCCACCCAGAGCGTCCATGAGGAAAACGCTGTTCACAAACATCGGCGCGATGTGACGAGCTGGTCGTCACTTTGGCACAAAAGCAGCTTCCCCAGTGATTTGAGACAAGAAGAATATACAAGAAATTATCTTGGATAAAGAACAATACTTGAGTTCATTTTAAAGATTGGTCTTTTTGTAATATGCCACTTTTATTGACTCACAGGTCTCCTTACCTTGTTTTAAAAAGACGTTTGTAATGCTGCAGGAGAAATAATTCCACTATTTACACCAACAGGGCTGATGCAGCAAGTGACGCCTTGTTGCCCAAACATGCCTTCATTTAGTTCATCAAATTTGGTTGTGGTTAACACCGTAACCACCATCTGCTTGCATGAAGATCTACATGATGTATGTAGGGTGTTTTCACACCTGATACGTCTGGTAGACTCGGCTTGATTTGGGGGACTAAAACTTCAACACTTGTTCCATTTTCATCCGGTTCGCTTTCACGCTGCACCATGTCAAACGATCCAAACTAATTGAAAAACCTGTTCACCCCTCGCCTGTGGTGGCGCTGCTCCAAGAACCACTGAAGGGCACAACGTGAAAACATCTTCCTTCCTCACAAAATGCCAGCAGAAGCAGAGCGGCATCAGATTTCAGCAGCTGTAGGATTTGTCTTTTGTTTTTGGGAAAAGATCACGAGTCATTTCTCCTGGGGACGTTAGACTCTCGTGATCGTTTTAGGTTGTATTTACCCATAATGCACTGCAGCTCGCTTCCTGCTTTTGGAGTGGTCTCTGGTCTTCTTGCATCCACATATGTATTGACAAATTTACTTCAATCGAACAGAGACCTAGGCGTGTAGGCAGACCAGAGTTCGCTTTTTTGGTCCAATTCGAGTTCGATTGGGCATTCATACCGCCAAAAAGGAACCAAACATTTTCTACACCAAGGCATTAGAGTTTGTTTAAAGCAGACTAAACGCAGAGACAGAGTTCAATCTGAACTATATATTCTGACAAAATGACGTTAAACTATTGGACGGTATAGGTACCAATTTTGAGAGGGAAACAGTCATTCCTCTTCCCAATGACTCCAGCTCCTTCTAATGGATCTCAAGGTGTTTCCACAACCATTACAGAAAGTCTCTAGAGCTCAGGAAGCATCCGGATCAGACGCCTGAACCAACTCCATGGAAACAAAATTCTTTTAGCCCGTCTGGTTCTTTAGGTCAGACCCATGTCTCATGAAAACATCTGAAAACCAAAGGAGGACTAATAAATTGAGAGCGGACACTGACACTAACCAATGTTGAGAAAATAAATTTAAAATAAGCTAGTTTTAAAACTGAGCATGTCTTGATTCAAATGGCCTAAATTGTGGTTTTAAATCAGTGACTTATTCTGGCCTGTTGACCTTTGTTTTGCCTGTGGCTGCAGCAGATGGTTTGCTAGGATCGTTTGAACCGCCTTTTGTCTGTGTGGAGAGCAGTACAGGGGAGGTTCCGGCTTTTCGCGCTCATTTGTGAAAGGCCGTAAACTGCAGGGGTTTTAGGCTTCAGATAAGGGGTCAGAGATAGCTCCTGGATTGGATGAGCAAAGATACACCTTATTTGAATAAATTAAAGAAAAGAAGATAAAACTTTCTACACATAAGTAACACATTAGATTTTGCTCTTGCAACTTCTCCAAAGACGTCTTTGCTTTTTGTTTGTCGTTTCCATCTTTTGTCTTTTTCTCTCTCAGGTAAATTCATGTGTTGTTTGTGCTCTGAGGTTTCTGGTGTTTTGTGATGTTTGTCTGGTGATAGTATGCATCTGTCTTGAATAAATGCTGATTATTGTGACGCTGTTATCTCTGCGTGATCTCAGTTCAGCATTTTTCTGAACCCGGGCATAAGAGAGGATTTAATGAGTCAAAAGGTTTTTAAAGTTCTATAATTTTTCCTCTCTTAACACCAGCCTGTTTGTATTTTACAATCCAACACTAAAAATATCTTAAAAGTTACAGTGGAAAAACTACAGATAGCTACAGAACATCAGTGTGCTGCTCTCCTCTCATGAGTACCAGCTAGCAGCGATGATGCGAACCCAACCACAAGTGTGTCCACTCTGAAACCACAGGAGTTGTTTTTATTGTTGCTGTTGTTGTTGCTGCAGGTTCATGTCTTGTTCATGTTTCCACCGGAAAATGGGAACAAAGGCACTGAAGGTCAGTCCCTCTAATTTATGTAATGCGGTTTGGAGAGCTGCAGCCCTACATACCTGCAACAGCAGCTTCCGTCACAATGTGCTGTTGGAGAATATCACTCGTACATTTAAAGGGCAACCGGGCAGCCTTACTACACACACACAACACACACACACACACACACACACACACACACACACACACACACGCATCCTAAGACATATCTTGCATAATCCCAAAACAAAGCAAATAAAAATGAGCATCCATTTTGACCTCAATCTGGGAGTCACTGAGCATTGATTTAGAGGATAAGCACCAGACGGATGCCACCGTTTCAAAAGGTAAAAAGGAGTTTGATGGTAAACCAACGGACATTAACCGCCATAACTTGACGACCATTTATTGTTGGACTTATGTGTCAGGTGGACATCTTGTGCCTCTGCAACAAGTCCAAGCTATCCAGATTCTGCTGTTTGATTTTGTTATTACCTTGATTTCTGAAATGGATCTCATGACATCATGCTTGTTTTGGGGTTTTTATGTGTTCCTCAGGAAGGTCATGACCTATTCTAATTTCGCCTCACAATTATGAAGTATTATTGGGTAAAATTCAAGAACATGGACAAGTTCTGGACTGGATGAACTGGTGTAAAAAAAAAAAAAGAAAGAAAGAAAAAAGAAACCCAGCAAAGTTTGGATTAGAACAACGTGGCCTAGTTCTACTAGGAACCGGATCTACCAGATCAACTGGGCATAACTATCAGTCAGGTCTGGCGGGTCTGGTACTTTTTTTTATCGCCACTTTTGCCTTCATGGGAATAAATACCACAAAATGTCACGATCCATTTTAACTACTTAGCTCCTGTTCCTATCTGTCAGCACGCCATTTGTTAAATGGAGCCGATACTTGATGTGATTTTAACCTGCACCACGTGTTTTGTTTACCTGAGCCTCCGACGTGACTCATTCCCTGCGGGACGAAATGAGTTAAGTAACGGTGACCCACTCCGAGTGGGTAAAAATGTGTAGCCTCAGCCATCAGAGACAATTTGTGCCTCTGCGCCGGATCAAAAGGATGTAATTACATGCCTTCCATGGTTCATTAACCGATTTGCCACCTCTGTTGTTGCGGCGCTCTGAATTCCTAAATTAAAAGCTGCGGACGGACACACGCGTAATGCATCTGTACGGCAGTGGCGGCACCTTCTGCCTCCCTCCGTTTGCCCTCTTGCTCTTTAGCCGTGGCGGTGGGAGCCTTCGCCCCTCTTCCTGTTGTTCCTCTGCCGCTCAGCGGAGCCCCAATTATAACCAGAAAAGCCGCTGACTGCTTCCCAACGCGTCCCGGTCGCGCCTCGTTACCGGACGGCGCGTTCGTGACAGAGCTCGGCCCGGCTCGGTGGACGCTGCTAACGCGCTTCATGCTCTCAGCAAGTCGCACAACATCGATTGTCCAACTGGGGATAATATTTGTTTTGCAGATTTACACCCAACACTTAGGGGGTTTTTTTGTGTGTTTTTTTCCAGCTTCCACGACCGTTCACATGATTTTCTTGCAGTTTTTCTCTTAATGAGATCAAAAAAGGATATTAGAATATCCAGATTCAGTATTCACCTCACATGTTTTTGTCTTTGGTGTTTTTGCAGTACAGTGGGCTCTTCATTTTCTCCAGAGCTGTATTTTTTTTGTCGGCGCTGTACCACCTGACCAAAGGCAGCAACACTCAAATTGCATTTTCAGATCCAGGCTCCAGTTGTTTAGGTCGTATTTCATCCACTTCTATGCAGTTTATGCAGAAATAGATCAATTTCCTGCAGTCTTGAGGGCTCCAAAGCATAACTTCATTGATGTGGTAATGTATAAATAGAAGTACAGTTTTCTTACTCCACAAGGTGGCGCTCAAACGGGACACCTGTCTCCCAACCATCCATCTGATGCAGTTACAGTGTTTAATGATTCTCTCTGATATCATATAAAACATATTATGCACTAAAACCTAAAGCAACTCAACACGGCTTCACCGAAACATTAAAGATGAACATCAGAGGAGGATAAATAAACAAAAACATCAGATCAAAACTGGCCAGATGAAAGAGTCCGTTTCCCACCATATGAAATGAAAACCATATGTTTTGCACATGTATTTCTCAGGAAACACTGTAGTGATACGGAACAAGAAGTTACCAATACGACACATGAGCGATTGAGCGTTTGACGCCTGTATTTGGCAATTTATCGCATTAATTCTGAATAAAATGAAGACAAAGCAAAGAGCAAAACTGTTTCAATTGACGCAGAGTCCGACCCGAATTTGAGATTCGGTTCGTGTGGCAAATTTCTGTTAACAGACATGATGGCCTGGACCCTTACGCACAGCGATTGTTCCAAATTCTCTGAATCTTTTGATGATGTTATGCACGGTTGATGATGATAACTTAAAAGTCTTTGTCATTTTACGCTTGGTGACACCATTCTGGTATTGCTGCACTATCTTTCTGCGCAACAATGGTGGAATTGGTGATCCTCTTACCATCTTGGCTTCAAAGAGACACTGACACTCTAAGAAGTTCATTTTATACCCAATCATGTCATCAATTGACCTAATTAGTGTTAATTGGTCTTCCAGTTGTTTGTTATATGTTCAATTTCCTTCTTCCAGCCACTTATTGCTACTTGTCCCAACTTTTTGGGGATTTGTAGACACTGTAAAATGTCTACAAATCAAAATCAACAAAACTATGTTGATTTTGAATCAACATAGTTTTCTTTTAAAATGTTACATTTACTCAGATTAAACTTTTGATCAACCATCTATGTTCTTTTACGAATAAAATATTGATGTTTGCCATCTCCCCATCATTGCATTCAGTTTTTATTCACAATTTGCTTAGTGTCCCAACTTTTTTGGAATCCGTTTTTTAAAATCCTAATACATACGTTGAAGTTTGTTGTGACATGTTGGGCATTAACATTTTAAAACTAATTTTGCATGTTTAAAATACAACATAAACATTTGTGACTTATTGTTTTTTCCTTATAAACTAAAAGCAGCCTTTATATTCATGACACTGTGACTCACATTACACTCTACATGGACGCTGTGGAAAGAGTTGGGTGGAAAATACTCTCTGAAAAATACCATAGAGCACGTTGACATGGCAACGTCTGCACGACTTCTCCCTCCTCGTCTGCCACCGTCTGTGGGTGGGCTGCACTATTCTGGATTAACATGGATTATATGAGATATATAATGCTGCAGTATATGTAGTGTTCCTTATTTAAACAATGCCTTTCAGTTAGTAGCAGAGTCAACTCTTAACTTCACTGCATGCATCAAACATACAACCTCAATTAGCTGATTATGACGAAAATTTAAATCGAACTTGAGTGAATTGTAGAAAAACTCTTCCGTCCAGATTTACTACAATCACATTGGTTCAATTCAAAGCTAAAGACTGATTTGTAAGTCACGGAGCAGAACATCATGTGGTGACTGAAAACAAACAGAAGAAAGAGGAGAACATACACAGCGTTGTACTGGAGAAACAGCGTCGCTGCGGAAATGTTCACCACTAGATTACTGGAGTAAATAAATATTGCAGAGAGCCGCTGAGGCTGCTGTCCCTCGTTTGTGGTGGTAAAAGTAGCCAGTTAATGTGGTAAATATGCAGTTTAAAATAAAGTACCAGCAATGGTGGAAATTATCTGTTTTTTTCTATTAGAGTGCTTGCAAACAAAAAAATGTTGACGTCTGAGAACTGAAAATGAATCTTTACTTGCATTAGCTCTGCAGTGCAGGTAGCTGCTACAGGAAGCTAGAAAGGTTCAAAGGTTAAGTTATTCTTTACAATCTGTGCATTGTTTTTATTTTTCTTTATCAGACTTATATAGTCAGTTTTCTGAATAGAACATGTTGTGTTGCATTTATAGTGTATCCATTGTTAAAGTTGTTGTCATATATTTTTAATGTTGCTGCAACATAATTTAGTTTAGTTTAGACATCAGAGGTCTAATTTGAATTTAACCAACATATTTCTGATGACTTGGCAGTTACCCAACCAGACTGATGATTTAAACAGGATTTGATGGAGGGAGTCAAAGATTAGGGTGATGGCAAAGAGGCCTTCCTACATAAAAGCAATGGGGCTCATTGTAAAAGATTACTAGTTATAATAATAGTGGAAACGTGCAAAAGACGTGTTCAGCGTTTACAAGAAGGTTTTGCTTGCTGTAACATGAATAAAAGATTTATCATTGATTATTAAGAGGGGTGGACATCATTCCTGACATGCCATTTGTTACATAAAATACCATTTAAAACAGATTATTTTGCTCAAAAATTTACGTTCTGTAGTTGTGGTTTGAGAGACGCCTGGCTGACTTTCAAGCTTCACCTGCAAACTGATGCATTTTCTGAATATCTAGGTGTATTTTTAAGGTTTGTCAGATTCAAAATGCCTTGACACTTAATTTTTCTGAACGTCGTGTTTACCTCGTGAAAGGAGCATGCAGTGTAAATTGATATTTGCTGATGTTTTGCCTGTTTTGAAAATCAAACATGAGCTTTTTTTCAAATGCTCCGTTCATATCCGTGTTCATCTGGGCCCCCCCCTCCTCGTCGTCACAGCTCCTCTGATGTTACCTGACGTTGTCGTGCTTTTGGATGTAGATCTTGTGAAACATCATGTCCTCCTGCTTGGCATTTATGTCGGCTTTCATCTCCATGGCAACATGACGAGGAAGTACTGAGAGTAAGAGACGCTCCTGCAGGAAGAGAGATGTGAAAGTGAGCGGGGCTTGTCAGAGAATAAAAAAAAGCATTCCTGCTGTGATTCGTTTATGGAGGCTGTCATTAAATAATTAGATTTTTAACAATTAGAGTGCCCAAATTTTACAAGTCAATTTACTGGTGCTTATTTAGCTTATTTTCAATGTTATCATTGGAGTTAGAAATTGTAGAAGTAAAATGTACAACTTGTTTCCTTAAACAAACTAATAGTTATTCTAAAAAGAAAAAAAAAACTACTTTATTATAAAGATTTATGCACATTTCAAATTTGTATACAAATAAAGGTCGTGGTTTAAAGTGAAAATAATAAAAGATACAAGCAGCGATGCCGTTTCTTACTTCAGGCCATATGCTGCGTCTCTAAAAATGATACATTTTAGTAAGTGGAAATTAAGATTATTGCACAAAACTTCGAGTCATGTGGTGTATATGAAGTACACAAACATACGTAATGTGCTCTGAATTTACATGCGTGTCATGGAAAAGGTAAAATATGTATTTGTTAAAATAATACAAAAAAAGGTAGTTTGTACTTCCATTCCATCAAAGCAACCTGATGAATTTTTCCTGCAGGGCCGAGTGAATCTTCATCAGCCAAGACAGAGTGTCTGCATAGTGTGGTATGAGATTCATTTATGATATTGTCTGGTTGTGGCTGCGACATTTTCTCAGTACTTTCAGGAGCAGGGACTCATCTGTGTCGTCTTCATTGCTCTCCAAAAGTTGCAATCCTCTTCCTATCACTTCTTAAAGCATGTGTGCAATAGTGTGATTGGGCTTTAGATGGAAATTAAAATGACAAAAACAAAAGTACATTTACTGCGTATTCTATAAATTTTTTTTTAAAAACCTACGCACATTAGGTTTTTTGTGTCTCTGTAGTCCTAATCAATCTATTTATGATGCAAAATACAGGAAATATATATATATATATATATATATATATATATATATATATATAAGTAAATTTTCCCCCAACCTTCGACTCCGCAAATAATCAGACTTTTGCGGCTCTGAGCATTTCCAGATTTTAGCTACAGAAGAGAGCAGTCTGTTACATGATGCCACTAACCTGGATCTACCTTTGGGGATATTTTCTAAACTGTCCCATCAAGACAATCTGATGATTCGGCAGATGCAAGGAAGGCTGAACTGATCACAGCAACTCTGCTCTGATCATCTTTCACTCAGTCTGTCACAAAATGCGCTGGATTAGCACATTAGCTGTGCTAATGGCTAACAGAAGATGCTAACCAACGTCCCGCCCCCCCCAATCACTTTGTTTTAAGTTTTAGGTCTAAACTTTGGACGCTTTCCGGTAAAACAGACCCGGAAAACCTCCAACTTTTGTACTTACAGTAAGATACGCTTTTCTCCCGACAAGATGCCACCTGTTTTATTCCAACCACATTGAGCGGATAGTGTTTGTGAGCATGGCCCCCAACCCAACCGCTGGCTTACCTAAAGCAGCCCAACACATTTCTGAGAGTCGCCTCTCAGTCGCCTACCTGCTGCTGGTTTTCCCTCTGGGAGTGGAGGCGAGCCTGGATGCACTCCCTGGTCTCCTGGAAGGCCTGCCTCTGGGAGCCCTCGGCCGGGTAGTGCGTACACACTCCTACAATGTTTGAGCAGGAGAAGACCAGGATGTTGGAGACTATCTGTGGAAAGAGGAGGGAAAACATAAGTGAAGGCCGCCGGATAAACGCGTTGTTTTTCTATTCCTATCATCTGTTCAGAAAACTGCTCGTCACAGCTAACCTTTACATCCCGGTCAATTAGAATACGACTGAAATGTTGATTTATTTCAGTAACTAGATAAAAAAATAAATAAATAAATGAAACTCTGAAATATTTATTGTACACAGTGATGTAGAGACAGAAAACGTTGGAATCTGCACAAATTAAAGCCCAATACAAACATGTGGGTCACCCTGAATATCACTTGTCAAAACCTCATTTATATGTTTTGTTTTTATTACATTTTATAAAAAGCTGATAGTGAAATGTTTTGCTAGAAGATTTCCAGCAAATTGTACTGTACATTAGTCAGCTTCATATTTCAACAAATTAACACCACAGCTCATATAATTTGATATCAAGGAAGGCTGAGGCAGCACTTAAACCCATAGTTCTTTTGTTTGTTATTTTACCAATTTTGAATACAATTTGCAGTAGAATCACAAGACGTGGTAATCTGTTGATTTTTTTTTTGTGAATTTTGCAGATTTATGAAAAACTGGAGTGACTCATTGATGTAATTTGGAAATTTGAGGGCCACATAAAAAGCTGCAAAGTTTGACACGTGTGATTTAGAATAAAGATTTTTTTTAACACATCTTAGAGTGGCCTAGTCAAAGTCCAGAGCTAAACTCTACAGAAAATCTCTGTCACCTTCAAAGTGAAACTGAAAACGCATCTGTAACTGCAGCACAGACCTACGAAATATTGGCAAATGCACGCCGCACTTTGTAGTTTTCCACCTTCTTTCCACTTCAGGTTTATGCAATGCTTTGTGTTCGTGTGTCGCAGAAAATTTGAATAAAACACACCGACGTGTGTGTGTGTGTGTGTGTGTGTGTGTGTGTGTGTGTGTGTGTGTGTGTGTGTGTGTGTATATATATATATATATATATATATATATATATATATATATATATATATATATATATATATATATATATATATATATGTTTGTGTTCAGGCAAAACGTGACTAAAGACAAGCAACACGGAGCTTGTAAAACTTCACAGAAGTCCAAACGTTCGCTTTGTGGCGCACCTGTTTCAGAGCGCGGTGCCCTTCACTGGACTTTTACATGCCGCGTATTTGGGCTTGAAATATGCAGAACAAAGATACGAGGAGCTCCACAACCGCAGTGAGAGAGACACAAAGTGTTTGAAGCAGGATTTCCCCGCGCTGCAGCTGCTTTCCCTCCGACTGAGAGCAAAGCGCTCTTTGTTTCCGTCGGCTCCGCCGGTGCGCCTCTCCTCCCTCTCGCCGGAGGGAACAGGGCGTCTCAACCTTCTGCGGGGTTTTTCGACACGCCGTTTTTTTTTTTGTTTTTTTTTTTCCTTTTTGTCCGAATATCTTTATCCAGGACAGTGCCTGTCTCATTAGGAGACTCTGCAGGGCCGGCTCACATACTGCCAGCTTGGGACGGACGGTAAGCAGCGGCTCCGAGAAAACTGAGCTGATGCAAAACACAAACGGACTTCTGATTTAATTTCTATCAAGTGAAGAAAATAAATGTGTTAAATCTCCAGAGCGACTCGTGTCATGTTACATATACGACTCATTAGACGCTACCACCAGAAACAATAAAAAGTACTAAGCTTAAAAAGTATTTGTATTTAAACACTGATAAATATCAGTTTAGGGCTAATTAGCTTCATCTGTTCAGACCTCTAAATTGCAGCATAATGCTGGCCTGAATGGAAACGTGTACCATTTGTAGAATGACAATTAGAAAACCGAGCTTAACCACAAACAGCCAGATTCAGGGATTTCATGGTTGAACTTAATGTCATTATCAAGTATGTGACTGCATGTTGGCAGGAGGGGATGTGATGCAAAGCTTGACCGAACATGTCACGGAAAAAAATCGGGAAAGAAAATGTGCATTCCTGCAGCCGTCATCACATTTAGTGAGATTCCAGAATTGGGTTTTTGTAGCAAATGTTCTTTTTCTTTTAGAGAAACAAAAGTTTAACAAAGATCACATCTCTAAGCAGCTGTCAGTGTTAACTTTGACAAGGAGCTGGCACTCTTTTAGTTCCCATAACTGTAAATATTTTCCAAATGACCAGGCAATTTTGTTCTTCTTGCAATAAAAGGGAAGCATCTTTGAACCTGCTGACCAGCAGTGTGCAGCAGAAGGGGAGGCAGAGGCAACTTTATGTTGCAGCCAAAGAAGTCTCCGGTCACTCTGGGGTTTTCTTTGGAGTCTCTTTTAAACCGTTGAAAGCTGTGGCTGTGTTGAAACCATTGGTTTCACATTTTGGTTTACTTTGTGGGAACTGACTCAGTCCTACTTTCTAATGTGAACTGATTCTAAGCTAGCAAAAGGTTTAAGCAAACCAAGCAGTTGCTTGTGGCACCAAAATCCAACATGAAAAAAAAAAAAAAAAAACTTCTTCATGGAGGCACAAAATCCTTAGTTACTCAGACTGTTGAGATTTTTCTTTAATGTGTACGAGGTCAATGCTTTAGAAGTAGGCTGGCTGTGTTTGTGCTCCAGAATCAAAGACAAACTACTGAACAGAAAGTCGACAAGAGACATTATTAGCTTGATATGTGCTTTAAAAGACGGTTAAGGTGAAGGTGCATCATTTCCTCTACTCAGCTGTCAACTTCTGAGATCGAAAAGAACAACAAAAAAATATTTCACAGCATTCTTTAGCTCAAATTTCCAACATCTAAAATATTTTACGGTAAAATAACTCAAGCAAGACTCACTCGGTACCACAAGACATATAGCCAATGTTGTTGCATATTGCATGTTTTTGTTAATGAGCTAATCTGTAGCAATTGATACAACCTTAAACTCCCACCCCCGCCCCTGAAATTCAATTCTGTTCAGGCCCTTTCAGCTCTGGTCACTCACTGAGTCCGAATAACTGAACGAAGCCTAAGACGGTAAACCTGGTGTACTCTGAGGAAAAAAGCTAATTTATCCTAGCAAGAAACAATAGGATAAGAAAGACATTTTTGATGATAATTAATAGAGACTTTATGGAGAGAAATGCAGATAAATGATGGGAAAACAACAGACTTCTATCAGGTTTACCATGTCTAGTACATAATTTTGTCAAGGCTTCTTGTCATGACAGAATGTGAAACTTCACCGTCACACAATCCCATGTGAAGCTCTTACCAGAACATTCTGTCTACAAATACTCCGAACTAGCCAAACCCCAAACCTTAGTGTGAACATGGGTTAAGCCTAATGACATCGGTACTAATAAATAAAGCATATAAACCTTAAGGGGACGAGGAAAAGAAAAACGGTCCCATAGAAAGCTTTACCGCCCACAACCAAGGTAGAAAATGATTTCATGGTCCTTCCACAACTCGGCTTTTCCCGAAGGTCTTTTCTTGTCGCTTTCATCTGATTGCACAAACAGAAAAAGGTTTTCAAATTGCTCTGCATTTGTGTGCAAAAAAAACAAAACAAGCTGCGTCAGCGATAAACTCAGATTTTAAAAATTCATCAAACGCTCCATCCCTTCCAACATATCCAGTATGTATTCTCAGTTTGTCTGGTTTTAATCTTTGCAGGAATTATTATTAAATCCACTTTCAAGTCAACAATCAAATAAAACAGTCTGAACTGAAACATTAGAACTAGAAGCGTCCAAGTTTGGATCGAGGCACTTTTAAACTTTTAAACGGTCGGGTTGGAGAACTGATCTAAAAATGCAACAAGTGAAAACAAAAGGTTTGCATGACGGGAATGCCTTTTTAAATGAAACAACACTAAAAAATATGGCAACCTGAATTATTAAATTATGAAGGAATTAAAATGTATGATTAAATTATCAGCAGGATACAGACGAGGGTTTAAACCTGTGCTAATTGTAGCCGGTACCTTTTTAGTAGTTTTCAGTACCAAGTTGGCCATCGGGGTTGCGCAGAAACTCAAGTTAGAGCAAAAATATGTGACTGCTAACTAATAAGAAGCCTTATAGCATCCAGAGCGTCGTTGGTGGAAGGTTTCCATCCATCCATCCATTTTCTGTACACCCTTGTCCCTCAGTGGGGTCGGGAGGGGTGCTGGTGCCTCTCCAGCTAACGTTCCGGGCGAGAGGCGGGGTCACCCTGGACAGGTCACCAGTATGTCGCAGGGCAACACAGAGACACACAACCATGCATACACACACTCACACCTAGGGGCAATTTGGAGAGGCCAATTAGCCTGACTCATGTTTTTGGACTGTGGGAGGAAACCGGAGAAAACCCACCATGCACAGGGAGAACATGCAAACTCCATGCAGAAAGGGGCCGGGAATCGAACCCAGAACCTTCTTGCTGGGCGACAGCTCTACCAACGGCGCCACTGTGCAGCCTTCCAGGTTTCCTCCAATTTATTATAAACAAATTTATACTTTTTTAGACTTCTTGTTGCTTTGTGGTCATTTTAATATTTCACAGAGAGAGAAAGAGAAACAATGTCTGTGTCCATTTCCATGGAATGGAAAGGAGGGATACAAGGTAGAAAGGAGAGATGGTTGTTGCAAGGAAGTAAGAGAGGATGCAAGGGAGGAGTCATACAGGAAAATAAAGACAAAATGACAGAAAGAAAAAAAAGTAAAACTTTTACATAATCGTTATTTTATGACGCAAAATATCACAAATGATGGCGAATCGAACTTTTGCGACTTTCCTAATTTTGAATCACTTGAATCTGCACTGGGAACAAAAAACAATCCTGACTGAAAATAACACAACTCCAAGCATTTCTGGACTTTCAGCTTCATTTGGAGGAAAAAAAAAATAGTCGGGAGAAGATGGAGAGATAACCAAAAACAATCCCATGGACCCCTGGATGTTCGAGGGCCCACCACCAAGCCCACTCACATCTCCACACTGAGGCCCCATCTCTGTTACAGCCGAATGACCAGAACTACAACATTCATTTTTCCAAAATAGAAGCAAAAAA